GAGCGCTCAGCGCTTCCCTCCTGTCAGCCCCCTTTCTCAGGCTGCGCCCGGGCGGTGCGGTCCGCCCTCATGGACGCACCGCCCGGGCAAAGCTGCAGCCGCCTGAGGCTCAATACAGAGCGCTCGGGCGGCTGCAGCATGGGGGGGGGGCGGCGGGGCTGGTCTGGCACCCCCCACCCGGCTGGCACCCGGGGCGGACCGCCCCCCCCGCCCCCCCCTTAGTACGCCACTGATCTGAAGCAAACTAATAAATAAATTGCAAAATTTAGATCGAAATATTCAAGATGATCAAATGGCGGGAGTTGTTTTAATAAATGTTAGCATAAAATGTGCATTTTGGTTTTCAATTTGCTGTATTTTAATGTTTAGTGAATAAATCCTTAAATTATTACCTTTGGTGCAATCCCAAAAGCCAAAATAATTTAAGGATTTCATTAGAGGTTTAAGCGCCGAATAATCAGTTGTGGTGAGTTAGCAACTGAGGTGTAAAATGAATGTTAAAAAAAAAGGGAATTGCAATTCTTATCTACTGTTTAGCCAATAAACTTTGTGGAGGCGTCCAGGAGAGCAGCTGATTGCATCAGAAAACAACACTGGTTAAAAAGGTTGACAGGGTTAATAAATAGATACCAACTTATAAATAATGATAAAAAAAAAAAAGTATCACATAAAAAATAGCAGTTATCTTCACATTAAGCCTTTTTTTTCCCCCTTTGTTGAAACAAACATTTGAATACTACTTATGAAAATAGGATTTCCAAACAGTGAGCAATTACATAAATAACAGAACAGTATTTATAAAATAATACAATAAGCAAAACAATCTGGAAAATACACAATTAATAGAAACATGTATTTGCACTCATATAGATTATCTAAAGAAACATCAAATTAGTCATCAAAGTCAGGAAAAAGTGGTTCGTAGCTCATGATATGCAATATATCCTGTGTTCAGTGGCCATTTCCAGTTGGCTATTAGTGCTGGTTCAAGTTGATCTTCCCATAAGACTGTCCGTTTCTGGTGACATTAAATAACCATTAATGGAACATCTCTTTGTTGATCCACATCAGACTGCGTGTCTCATTGGGTTTACACTCGTATTCGATACTGCTGAAGCTGTTCCCCCATTGGCAGTGGTCTCTTTTGTGATAATTGTAGAACTTGACTTGCCATACAGTTTCAAAATTCCCAATGTCATCAAACTGTGCAAAAATAAATTATAAAAAAGGAATTAGTACATTAGTCACAATCTAAAATCAGGGCATTAAACCACAGTGTTAGGAGGCTGAACCCAGTAAGTGTCATCTCTTCAGCAATGAAATGTTTGTTTAAAATCCTTATTACACTTATTATTAATTACATGTATACTAATATTGTATTATGGTAGGTTTTCATTCTGTGTGTCTAGTCTCATTTATTTAGAATGAGCAGGGAAGCTCTATTCACTTGGTTAAATGGAGAAGGTATTCACCTTTTGTAAGAGACAGATGCGATATCATCATTTATTCCTATGCAGCTTTTAAATCACGAGTGCTTTGTAGATTACCCTGTGTTTCTCTATTTATACGAGGCAGACATCATTATGACAGATTGCCACACTGCTATGAGATTATTGGCCCCCTAGTGGTGGAACTAATGTAGAGAGGGCCCCGGTGCAAGAAATGTTTTGTTGGACCTCCATCTAGGAATGTAAACATGTTTTAGTATGGAGTGTGTGTGGATGAAGAAGTGTATTTGCATGTAGTGTTGGTGTTCAAATGCAGGTATACATTTGTGTGTAGTGTAGGCATTTGAATGCAGATGTGCACTTGTGTGTAGTGATGGTGTTAGAATGCAGGGATGTGTTTTGTATATAATGGTGGTGTTTGAATACAAGAGAGTGTTTGTATGAAGTGTTGGTGTTTGAATGCTAGAATGTATGGACATGTACACATAAAGTGTGCTATGTGTGTATCTGACTGTATGACCAGGCTGTCCACCAGGGGGCTTCAGTAACGGTCTGCATTATTCTGCTTCCTGACCCCTTGCCGGGATTGAGCAGTGCTAATCCACCTGCAGCCCTTTTCCAATTAGGGTCAGCTGCTCCTAATCAGCAGGCTGTAAAAGCCAGCTCTGCCTGATACACACATATACAGTCAAATACACACACATACACACACAGTCAGATACACATACCAAGATACACACACATACAGTCAGATACACACACATATATACAGTAAGATACACACACATATACAGTCAGATACCCCCACACACACAGTCAGATACCCACACATATCAATTTAAATAGTTTAGCCACCCTCCTGTCTCCTTACGTTTACAGAAGGGTGGCTTCCCTGGGGTCCAGTGGGAGCTGGATGGCTGAGGTTGATGGGAGTCTGAGGAACTTGGCTACCTCAGTCCCCCTCCTTCTCCTGTGTATGCATCCTCCTTCTCCTCCAATTCCATGTGTATCTCCTCCTCCCCAGTGGCACTGTTACTTCCTCCCAGCAGTCAGGAAGACAGGTGCCAGGTCAGCAGCCCTCTTAAATGGCCAGAGGGGCCCTGATTACTTCACCTGCTGGAGCCCACTGGGAAATTTCTCAGTATCCCAGTAGGCTGTCCAGTCCTGATTGCAAACAGGGGGCCCACAGGGCAGCTGCTTTGTGCCCCCCTGGAGTTATTAAGCCCAGGGCAGCTGCCCTGTTTGCCCCTTGCTAAAGAGGGCCCTGGTGGCCACTTGGATGGGCCTCCCAAGCTTGTGGACCATGGTGTAGCCAGTAGTTGGCTCATTAACAGGTAGCCTAGGCCTCCACTGAGATAGGAGTGATTAACTGGAACTTTCTATGTATGCTGTTTGTAATCTTGTGTACCTGGTTTTTAATTGCTCATATTTTGGTATTTAACAATTAAGCACCATCACTACATGTGGTCTATCCACTACATTGTGACGAGAGACACAGAGAGCTCTATTCTGTGGAACAGAATGCATGGTGTGATTCATATCACACCATGATGATCATCAACAGCTTCTTCTCATCCTCCGCAATATCGGTCTACAAGATATTGCTCTCTCCTGGTGCGCCTCCTACCTCTCCCAGCGCTCTTTCAGTGTTTCTTAGAATATCGTGCAAAAGTTCATTTATTTCAGTAATGCAACATAAAAGGGGAAACTAATATATAAAAGCCATGATTTGTCATAAGTGCGTTGATTATGGCTTACAGCCCATGAAAACCCCAAACCCACAATCTCAGTAAATTAGAATATTGTGAAAAAGTGCAATATTCTAGGCTCACAATGTCCCACTCTAATCAGCTAAGTAAGCCATAACACATGCAAAGGGTTTCTGAGCCTTTAAATGGTCTCTCTGGTTCAGTAGGAATCACAATCATGGGGATGACTGCTGACCTGACAGTTGTGCAGAAAACCATCACTGACACCTTCGATAAGGAGGGAAAGGCTCAAAAGGTAATTGCGAAGGAAGTTGGATGTTCCCAAAGTGCTGTATCAAAGCACATTAATAGTTATGTGGAAGGGAAAAGTGTGGAAGAAAAAAGTGCACAATTAGCAGGGATTACCGCAGCCTGGAGAGGATTGTCAGGAAAAGGACATTCAAAAGTGTTGCGGACTGTCACAAGGAGTGGACTGAGGCTGGAGTCAGTGCATCAAGAGCCACCACACACAGACGGATCCTGGACATGGGTCAGATATTGAATTCCTCTTGTCAAGCCGCTCCTGAACAACAAACAACGTCAGAAGTGTCTTACCTGGGCTAAAGGAAAACAGACCTGGTCTGTTGCTCAGTGGTCCAAAGTCCTCTTTTCTGATGAGAGCAACTTTTGCATCTCATTTGGAAACCAGGGACCCAGAGTCTGGAGGAAGAATGGAGAGGCACACACTGCAAGATGCTTGAAGTCCAGTGTGAAGTTTCCACAGTCTGTGTTGATTTGGGAAGCCATGTCATCTGCTGGTGTTGGTCCACTGTGCTTCATTAAGTCCAGGGACAATGCAGCCGTCTACCAGGAGATTTTGGAGCACTTCATGCTTTCTTCCACAGACGAGCTTTATGGGGATGCGGACTTCATTTTCCAACAGGACTTGGCACCTGCCCACACTGCCAAAAGCACCAAAGCCTGGTTCAGTGACCGTGGGATTACTGTGCTTGATTGGCCAACAAACTTGCCTGACCTGAACCCCATAGAGAATCTATGGGGCATTGCCAAGAGAAAGATGAGAGACATGAGACCGAACAATGCAGAAGAGCTGAAGGCCGCTATTGAAGCATCCTGGTCTTCCATAACACCTCAGTAGTGCCACAGGCTGATAGCTTCCATGCCATGCCGCATTGAGGCAGTAATTGCTGCAAAAGGGACCCAAACCAAGTACGGAGTCCATATGCTTGCTTATACTTTTCAGAGGTCATATTGTTCTATGTACACTCCTTGTTTTATTGATTGCATGTAATAATCTAATTTACTGAGATTGTGGATTTGGGATTTTCATGACCTGTAAGCCATAATCATCACACTTATGACAAATCACGGCTTGAAATATCTTGCTTTGCATGTAATGCGTCTATGTCATATTAGTTTCCCCTTTTATGTTGCATTACTGAAATAAATGAACTTTTGCACAATATTCTAATTTTTCGAGTAACACCTGTATTTATATGTTCGGTTATATACACCATACATATACACAGGGACAAAAAAAGAAGCAATATGCAAAAAGTAAATTCATTTTCCTAGGTACTTAAGGAAGGAAAGGGGACGTGCACCTGAGAAGTTGACAAGTTTATTATGTAGGACTTGACAGACGCCTGCAGAACAGTACAACAAACCGGACTATCTATTAAACAAAAACAGCAAACTAAAGCGTGTCATGCAGCTAACTTTTATTAAATGTTAGCCAGTATAATTTTACTGATTCAGTTAAAAACAAAACAAAAACACAAAAAAGGAAATAAGGCAAACTAGACAAAAGGAAATAAATGTAGTTTTGGGAACTTGTTAATTTTATTTGATAAAGCAGACTCTCAAATACGAACACACTGCATTTTGCTTTTGGAAACATGTTGTTGATAGTACACACATTTACGAGAAAATCTGCTTTTTTTGTTTGTAAATTTACTCATTTTCTGTTTATGCAGCAACTGAAAAAACATCCCTGCTCATTCCAATCTGGTTAACCCTTGAACTGCAGCCCATTGTGGAAAGGTATTGGTGGGGAGGTCATATTGCCATATCCCTCAGTTTTAATATGGAGCTTTGGGGAGGGAGAGGTGGAGGGGGCGGTTAAAGTTCAATTTGTTTTTTTATTCACTTTTTAAACTCTGAGTGCATTATTTAATTGTATATCCGGTGGATGGTTTAGGATTTGTTTTGGAATTCATTCTTTCGGGAAAAAAATAAGATATTCCAACTAAATTCAGAAAGACTTTATAGCTTCACTGTCATGCCGAACTTACCTTTCCCCAATCAAATTCCTCTTCTCTCCCACTGTCAGGACCTGTTCTTCATTTCTTCAAGTCTGCTCTAGTTTTCTTTAAAAAACATAAGACAAAGTAGGGACCTTTTGTCCCCCCACCCCGGACCCCATCCATGAGCGGCGGGTGGAGGCCATAAATGAAAATGAGGGGATGGGGGGAGGAAACAATTGTCCTCCCTCCCTGGTCCCCACCTGAGCAGCGGGTGTGGGCCCTAAATAAAAATGCAGGAGGGGGGACCTATTGTCCTCCCCCCTGGATCCACCCGTGAGTGGCTGGTGGGGGCCCTAAATGTATAAAGCCTTCCCACACCCTGCAATTTGACTTAGAGCACTCTGATTGGTTGGCTTGAAATCAACCAATCAGAGTGCTCTGACAATTGTTGTGAATCCAAATAATGATCTTTGTTATATTCAGAGGAAGCCCAAATTATTATTACAAGTGCACTTGGAGAAGCGAGAATTAGACACCAGACACCTGTTGGTATTCAAAATAAGCCTCTGACGTTTTATTCATCAGCTGGGTTTTATACATCAAAAAGTAAGTGCTTACGAGCAAATACTCATAGAACAGTAATAGGAAGGGAGTACAGATAAGGTATGAACGTCATGTACACATAACAAATAAGTTCCAAGGTAAGCAAGAACAAAAAGATTAGCGAAGAGACATCTTAGGTGGGGGCTCTCTGCTCCCGGAACTAGACATATATGGTTTTAAGTGTTGTTTAAGCATCAAGCATTTCCTGAGTCCAAGTTAGCCAATTTTAATATAAGATATCATTATATGACACCTATAAGCTTGAGCCTTGGAATCAAGATAAATTCTATCACACAGGTAAATGAAGAGACTGACCGGTAAGTCTCTACATTTACCTGTCACAGCACTCTGATTGGTTGGCTTGATATCCAACCAGAGTGCTCTGTGTCATTTTACACAGCGTGGGAAAATTATTTGGAATTTTCCCATGCTGTGTAATTTGACTCATAACACTGTGATTGGTTGCTTTCAATTTGCAACTTATTGTCTCCCCCCTAATAGGCCCCCCCCATTTTCATTTAGGGTCCCCACCCGCTACTCATGGTAGGGGGCCGGGTGGGTGGAGGGCAATAGGTCCCCTCCCATTTTCATTTAGGGACCCCACCCACCGCTCATTGCTGGGGCCGGGAGGACGCTAGGTCCCCCTTAAGTTTAATAGCCCTCACTCGCGTGGCACGGGTGGGGGCTCGGAAAGGGGGACACTAGGGGGCTTTTTTTTTTTTTTTTTTTAACAGTGAGCAGCAACAGGCCCCTACTTGAGGCATAGCGAGTAGGGGCATTTAGGAGATTTAAAATCTCCCTTATGCTATTATGGGGTTCATACATAAACACAAAGATAAAGCACCGCGCTTACAGCAGCTGTAGCTTAGTATCCAACAGCTTAAAATACATAGTAAAAACAAAGAGAATGTTACCTGCGCTCTGGCCTAAATCCCCATGTACATTTAAACAAAATGGAGGCTCTTTAGTTTTATTCCAATGGCCATTTGAATATATAAGCTCACCTCCAGTGAGACAGGAAGGGGTATTTTATAAACCCTTTCACATTTAACCTTTTATAGGACTTCTACACATACAATAAACTTTGCTGGTATCAGACAAAGTGTAAACATCTCTAATGAGACATGAAGGGGTGTTTTATATTTAGGCCAGAGCGCAGGTAACGTTCTCTTTGTTTTTATTATGGGGTTCATATTGACCCCCATAGAGTGAGGGAGGACATGGGGGGCTTAAAGTGAAGGGGAGCACTGCTCCCTGCCGCTCCTATTTTTACATATTGCAACGAGGGAGCTGTGCGCCAGTAACTCCATCCTTGTAATAAATCAAACGAACGAACGTAGAGGTCTTCGTTCATTAGTTAGAAATTTCGATTAATTTATTCATCTTTCTGATGAATTAATGAATAGATAAAATTCCCGTTCGCATGCCCAAGTGTTTAACTGGGCATTCGTGAAATTTCACAGCGCTATCTAGTGTGGGCAGATGACGTGTCCCACAGGGACTTCATCTACCCACACAAAGATGGTGGCGCCCAGGACCTAGGTCCGGGCATGAAATAAAGATGAAAAAAATAGGTAACATGGGGCGCTTAGGGGCATTTGGGAAATGGCTAGGGGGACAATTAGATGTAGTGGAGTAGGGAGGGGGGTTTAAAAAGAAAAAAACTGGATTCGGCCATGACAGTGCCGCTTTAATTTGCAGAGATTCAGAGATGGTCTTGCTCAATCTACAGAGTGACATATTGGTAATTTTTGTAAGATTTTCTGCCTCTGAACTACTATCATTTATTTACCCAGAATGGTTTTCTCAGAATATACCCTTGAAAAAAATCAATTATTTCAAAAAGTAGAAGATGTATTCTTCAAGCACTCTAGCGCTGTACCGTTCTATTTAAGTTACATTGGTTTTCCTCATAAGTATATATTTAAAGATAATGTCTTCTTTAATTCCATGGTATATGCAAAGTTAAAGAATTTCGAGCAGACCTAGTAGTTACCTATTTATCTCCGTATAGGTTCAAATATAACTATAATAACTGTATTCATCTTCTATTTTGAGAACATATATTTAAATGTTTCCTGTATTATGAGTCATCTAAACTTTGTGGCACAATGCAGAGCCTGATCATGTGCTTAAACAGGATACTTAATATTTTGTGCGCAAGGATCAGAAAATATCATGTGATCACAATTCCAATTTAAAGATAAAGAAAAAAAAAAGATAAAAAACAGTAAATGGAATAGACACCATACAGCTACTTGAAGGAACATTACAAACACCATAACCTGAGATTCGCTCCTCTCCATCTCCACTACAGCTGACAGAGAGCCGAAAGCCCTGCGTAGCCTGGCTTAGCTCACATAGAGAGGTTGAGGTAGAGAGGTAGAGAGGTTGGGGCTCCAGGGCACGGCGCCCAGGAGACCCCAGTTACAAAGTCAAACCAGTCTGAAGCTGTTTGGTTACTTTGATGGGGGCACTAGGGTACAGTGACCTTGCCTCAAGAACTCTTCTTCAGTGTGTCGTTGGAAATAACATTTTTTAAATTTTTAATGTCAGTTTCAACCAGCATGACTGATGGTGACTAGCTGAGAGTTCTAGAGGCAAGTTAGGCTAGTGTTAGCCTACCCCATTAAAAGAAAGGGTGGATGTCAATGCATTGAAAAAAAAAATGTAGAATTTGATAAACTTAGAGAAATATAGTTTTAATAATAAATCTAAGAACATAAATGTCAGAGGTAAACAAAGTGCGTGTGTCGGGAGGGAGAGGGAGAGGGACATTCTTTTCCCATTCCTATAAACTAGAGATAAGAAAATGCAAAATATGGGCTTGTGAGCATCCTACCGCTAGCCTCATTAACCCTGGCTAATCAACTTCCTTGCCATTCATTCACTGAAGATGTGTGGCTTTAAGGACCAGTCCTCCAGAGTGGTGATCTTAAAGAAGAAAAAAATAGAGCAAAGAAAGACTATTTCCAAAACCCAGGGCTCTGAAAAAGGTTTGGTAATCTCAAAGAAGATTTTGCAACAAAGAGAAAAAAAAAAAATAAAAAAAAATAAAATAACGCCCCAGTGATGAAGGAGTTGATTAGTAAACATTCAGCTGCAGCTTTGATATACGTTTTTGGGTCTTGCTTTTCAGCCCCACATGGGATACACACACACGTTTTGAGATTGGTTTGCCAAGTACTTGGCTTGATCTGTAAATTAAAGCAAGAATTCTACAGCTGCTGTTCAGATGGAGCATAATTATGGACTAAGTCTCTGGTTTCCAAACCTGGAGGAACTATTTATTTTTTATTTTATTTTTTATTAAAGACTGTGGATTACTAGTATAGCAAATATCATTGTGGGCTAATATAGGAGGTTATTAACATAACAGTGATTCTATTATAAAATGCTGAATATATCTTCTAAGTAATATACAGCGAAAACATTTAACAATTAAAGGGTTATTTACTAAACTGAGAATTGTGGGGAATTCAAATTGAATTTCAAAATTAAAGCCAAAGTAACCTAACTGGAGCCATAGCGGGCTTGGAGAATTTTTCCACTTTGGCTATTTTGCCCTTAAAATTTAAAATTCATTTGAATTCCCCCAAATTTTCACTTTAGTAAAGAACCCTGTAAATGGGTCATTCATCCCTTAAAGGGACACTATAGTCAACAGAACAACTACAGCTTAATGTAGTTGTTATAGGAAGTATGGTCAGTCCCTGCAGTCTTTTTGCTGTAAACCATGACTTTTCATAGAAAAGGCAGTGTTTACATTGCTGCCAAGGGACACCTCCAGTGGCATTCACTCAGACGCTGATCTTTCTCCATAGAGATGCAATAATTCAATGCATTTCTATGAGGAGTTGCTGCTTGGCCAGTTCCCACCCCCTGATTGGTGTAGCTCTGCTCCCACCCAACCACCTTGGCTGAGATCATCGGAATTGACGATCTCAGCAAATCCAACCATTTCTAAATGCATTCCTATGGGAAAGCATTGGATTGGCTGAGATCATCATTTCTAATGATCTCAGCCAAGGAGGATGAGCAGGTGAGTTGTATCTCATTAAAAGGAGGGCAAGGATCAGAAATACACATTTGTACACACAGAATAGTTCTTAAAAGTATGTACATCTACAAAATAGTTGTCTTGATAAACTTTATGAACATCTTCACATGCATGAAAGCGTTCCAGTTCATTACAACTTAGACAAATGTTCGTGTTGGCACACTTTAAAGAAGAAAAAAAAAAAAAGTGCTGTACTTTAACACCGCTTCAATTTTTATTTTATTTTTGAAAACTTGTCTAGTACGTTTGTGTGTGTGTGTGTGTTCAAGAAATAGCAAGTTCATGTAATGTAAACAGAAAATGAAGTTTGAGACAGCTTCTCATGAGGGTCCTGTAGTTAGAAAATCAAAACCTTATTCTCATTGGGGGAATGCACAAAACACTGAATTGTGACACATTGTAATTTGTAAATTGTGAATAGAATCCCACAGCTGCTAATTTGAAAGGAAAATGTCCAAGTTAGCTATTTTGGCATAAATAGTACAAGTTATCTGTCAACTCATCCCAACTAACTATTTAGTGAACAGATTCCAGAAAATCAGTTAGCAAATTTTAGGCAAAAATAGGCAAGTTGTGATGAGTTTGTAGAATTGTTAAGCTCAGCTAGTATGGCATAGATCTCCCAATACAGTTTTCAAGTCACCACAATTCACTGTCAGGAATTTACCCAATAAAATCTGAATTGTAACGAATTGAAAAACAAACGGAATAGTTTTGCCTACATTGTGCAATCTGTGAATACACCCAAGTGACAGACTCTTTACAAATCACTTATTGCAGTTTACTCATGGAGAGGAAATTGCAGATGATATTGGTGGTCTCATGTAGCAGACACACACGCTTAACTGTACAGCTTGCCAAAAATCCCAGTATGTAAGTTATCAGTAATAAATTCAACGATGGGAGAGGGATCTTGTGGAGGTACTAGAGTGCGGCCTTGTGGGGGGAGAGAGGTGGCCACCATGGTCTCCATCTGTGTGGCATCATACGAGCAGATGTACAAAGAGTGAAGGCTTGTCTACTTGGGTCAGTGTCCCATCAGTTTTTATGTCAGGGATAAAATGTATTTGCAGTAGTTTAGAAAAATTAAGATTCTTTTTCTGGAGGGGAGGGTGGTAATAAAAAAAAACAATTTATTCTGTAACACGTTTCAGTTCAGTATTTTTTGCTCGTAAACAACTCCTGTGCAGCTTTATATAATGGGCAGGGTCCCCACAAACTCCTGATGGAGTCTTGTGGCTATTGAGGTACAAATATCATATGGTGGAAGTGTCCCAAGGTAAATCCCAATTGGAAGGAAGTGGGAAGTCCTTTGGCAGCTGTCTTTCAGAGGCCAATTAATATGGATCCCTGGGCATACCTTTTTCATTCCCTCAAGAGGGTCGGTGAAAGAGGACGGTCCACACTCATAAAAAAACAACAACTTTTAAATAACTTTTTAATAAATTAAAGCGACACTATAGTCACCAGAACAACTGCAGCCTTTTGTATCTGTTCTGGTGAGTATAAGCATCCCCTTCAGGCTTTTTGCAGTAAACCCTGTTTTTTCATAGAAAAGGCAGTGTTTACATTACGGCTTAGGGCTACTTCCACTGGCCACTCCTCATATGGCTACTAGAGGTGCTTCCTGGGGCAGTGTTGCCCACTGTGCAAGGAATGTGGGGTGCAAGGGGGACTAGATAGTGCTTTTAACACTATAGGTTCAGGAATACAGGTTTGTGCTCCTGACTCTATATTGTTCCTTTAATGATCTCTGCCCAAAGAGCTTTAGAAGAATCCTGGCTCAGGGACAACACTCCCTCTTTACAAGAGATCAGTGCTAAAATAGAAGATAATTACCTGATTGACAGTAATAGTTTGGAACACTACTCCCCCATTCCAAAAAAGTATGGTAACCTTGGTAAATTAATTCTATTGCAAATGATCTGCAAATCAATTAATGGATTTACAATTTTGTGCCTATCCTCTAGGTCTCCTACTCGATTCGCCTTCTATCTCCTCCCCTTTCCTTTTTCCCCCACTTTACTTTTTTTCTTCATGTTTATCTTTTGTTTTGGTGCATGCCTTATTCAGAAAATTGAGATACAGTTTGTTTTTTGATTCCTCATGTATATTCTTGCTTGTGTCCAATTTTTCTCTCTTAAAAAAAAAAATTACAAAGTATTTAAGGTTAAATTTTAAAATTGACTTAATAAATTCCTTTACTGGATTTTTAACCCCATCTGTTATTCTCTTGTGTAACATGCATGTTTGTGCTATGGAAATGCGATATATTTACAGTCTTTAAAATGTTCTAGGTTTCAAGACAGTAACAAATGATACATACTAATTATATATTGATAATATGTTTGTATAATTAACTATGCCAACTTCTTGGCAGGAGATCGATTTTGATTGTATTTGGGAAATACGGAAAGGCACATTTGAAATCACTTTAGAGACCTGTTTACCATACACGTTAAACAATAGGAGTGTTTTTACTTGAAGGATTTGACGAGCCATGTAGCACAATCAGATCTATTGTTGATTCTAAATGAAAGATGCCTTTTACTAGTCTAATCAAATAGTAATTTAAAAATTCTAAAAATCATTAAAAAGTTTTTAGTTATGCAGCTCACATTGATCGCTATCAAATTATTTTATTTTATTTTTTTAGTACTATGTGGTTTAGAGATTCAGAGAATGGTGCCGTGTCAATCTGTTTGGGAAGCTTCCAAATTACAAGATATTCTGTTCCAACATTCCAAAGTTTCCAGGAAATTACCCTGAGTATTTAAAGCAGTGTTTGCTTATATATTTAAACCAGTACACGGTTATATGCTGAAAAATTTCTATTGTAAAAATATAACATATATGTATAGGTTTATGTATACAAATGTATCTTTAAACAAATAAGGTTGCCATGTGTACACATATTTGTAATATTTTACTATGTAGCCAAAATATCCTGCATATGTTATTCTATTATTTCTATGTAGCCAAAATATCTTGCATATATTATTCAATAAAAAAAGGTGGGGGTGGGCGGAGATCCTAAGTAGAGCGTAATTGAATTAAGGAGTAGTTGCCTGCTAGTGACAATTTAATTAATACATAACATTTAATATATTAGTTTTAAAATATTTCTGTTGAGAATCAACAGATAAACTTAAAAAAATATTAATTAATTTAAAGCTATCAATAGTATAGACCAAACAAAACAAAAAGAAGAAGAAAAAACGAATATAGCAATAAAGAAAAAAAAATGTTAAAGGAAAAAAGACGGATATATAATTATTCAATATAGGATGAGAAATCTATGTAAAATCAATAAATAAATGGTCTATTTGTTGGATCTGGAATAGAGATGAATAGATAGTCTATTCATTGAATCTGGAATTACAGGATAAGCCCAAATGTATGAAGTTTATGTTGTTACTTTTAAGATGCCAGTGAAGTTGAAACTGACAATCCTGAAAGACATTGAGTATCAATGGAGTAAATATAACAATTTAGTCGAAACTATGATATAGATTGCAATAGTATCAGTTTCCCTTGAAAGGAGCTGTCAAAATCTCTGTGGTTTTGTTATAGGCTCTAAGAAACAAGGAACTAAGAAATCTCCAATTCCAGATAAAGAGATCAAATCTCGAAATGCATGACTATTCTCCCAAATAGTGATTTTTTTATATATTGTCTTGTAAATTGTATATGTTCTGTATATGAAGCTGCTAGTCTAAGGTTACCACTAATTGAGGAATATAATCATCATACATATGCCCTGTCTATACATCTTTCAAAAGGACATAATGTCCTAAATCTAATTACAAACAAAAAAATTATAGAAGTGATTAATGGAGGATAGTGCAGAGCCCCAACACCGGTAAGGTGGCTCTTCAAGGACCCTCATTGCATTCTTAGGAATGGAGAGCCAAGGTAGCAGACAGGTGCTGCTAATCAAATATCCTTGATTAATTGATCATCAGTAAGTGTGACCATCTCTATAAAAAGCAACGTTTTAGCAGTTTGTTAGTCTGTAGCAGCAGTTCCCAACCCAGTCCTTAAGTACCACCTACCAGTCCAGGATTTTGGGATACCCAGTTGTGTCTAAGGTGTTTTAATAAAAAAAAAAATACCACAACAACAACAACAACAACAACACTTTAGACACAACAGGGTAATCCTTTTATCCTGGACTGGTAGGGGGTACTTGAGGACTGGGTTGGGAACCCCTGGTCTGGAGCATTCAGGCGGGCTTTAACTCAATGCCAAGGAGGAAAGACGTCAGCAATGATCTTAGTGAAGCAATTGTTGTTGTCCAAACTGGGAAAGGTTATAAGGCCTTTTCCAAACAATTTAAAATCCATCTTTCTACAGTGAGAAAGATTATTGAAAATTGAAAAAAAAAAAACCATTCAAGACAGTTGCCAATCTTCCCAGGAGAAATTTACCCAAGGTCAGACTGTGCCATGTTTAGAGAAATTGCAAAAAAACAAAAAAAACAACAAGAGTTACATCTCAGACTCTACAGGCCTCAGTTAGCATGTTAAAGGAACATTATAGGATCAGGAACACAAACATGAATTCCTTACCATAGAGTGTTAAAAACTTGCCCCCTTATATAGTAATAGTTTACATTTATTCCAGTCTGCTGGTGCTGGCTTTGCCCCTGATCTGCCTCTTTGGCAGACAGCATCAGAAGTGATCTATTCAGCCAATCACAATGCTTTTCCATAGGAAAGCATTAGATTGGTCAAGATTGTCTATTCTGATTATGTGAGCCAAGGAGGTGGGTCGGGGGCACAGTTAAACGCTGCCCTGGCCAATCAGATTCTCATCATAGAGATGCATCACTATGAGGAAAATTCAGTGTTTCCATGCAGAGGGTGGAGATACTGAATACAGCACTGCCCTAAGGAACACCTCTGCTAGCCATCTGAGGAGTGACCAGTGTAGGTGTCCTTAGGCTGACTATACTCACCAGAAAATCTACATTAATCTGAAGTTCATTACAGTACAATTAGAAAAAGACTGAACAAGTAAGGTTTGCTTGGTAGGGTTGCCAGAAGAAAGCCTCTTCTCTCTAAAAAGAACATGGCAGCATGGCATAGGTTTGCAAAGTTGCATCTGAACAAACCACAGGACGTGTGGAGCAATGACCTTTGGACAGACGAGACCAAAGTGGAGCTGTTTAACCATAATACAGGTACAGGTACAGTCTGAAGTGCTTCCAATTTTGCAACAAACTAGGAAAAAATTCCTTCTTGACCCCAAAATAGAAGTCAGATATCATAGAAACATAGAATGTGACGGCAGATAAGAACCATTCGGCCCATCTAGTCTGCCCAATTTTCTAAATACTTTCACTAGTCTCTAGCCTTATCTTATAGTTAGGATAGCCTTATGCCTATCCCACGCATGCTTAAACTCCTTTACTGTGTTAACCTCTACCACTTCAGCTGGAAGGCTATTCCATGCATCCACTACCCTCGCAGTAAAGTAATACTTCCTGATATTATTTTTAAACCTTTGTCCCTCTAATTTAAGACTACGTCTTGGATCAAGCAGCTATTACCCAACTAACTAGAAATGATATCCCTGTATGTTGTGTTTTTGGAAGTATTTATCCAATTGCTTTTTAAACATCTGTATGGACTCTGATGAAACCACCTCTTAAGGCAGAGAATTCCATATCCTTATTGCTCTTACTGTAAAAACACATTTCCTTTGCCTTAGATTAAATCTCCTTTCTTCCAGCTAAATGCGTGACCTCGTGTCCTATGTATAGCCCTCTTTATGAATAGATTTCCAGACAATGGTCTGTACTGGCCTCGAATATAGTTGTATAATATTATCATATCCCCTCTGAGGAGCTGTTTTTCCAAACGAAAGAGATTTAAATTTTTTAACCTTTCCTCATAACTAAAGTGCTCCATTCCTTTTATCAATTTTGTAGCTTGTCTCTGCACTTTTTCTAGTGCCATGATATCCTTCTTTAGAACAGGTGCCCAAAATTGCACAGCATTTTCAAGGTGTGGTCTTACCAGTGATTAATAAAGAGGCATAATTATATTTTCATCCCAAGAATTAATGCCCCTATTTATACATGACAAAACCTTACTGGCCTTGGCAACTGCAGATAGACATTGCATATTGCTGCCTAATTTGTTGTCTATAACAATTCCCAAATCCTTCTCGTGTGTTATCCCTAATTCACCACCATTTAGGGTGTAAGTTGCTTGTGAATTCTTGACCACAAAGTGCATAACGTTGCATTTCATGTGCCATTTTAGTGCCCAGTCCCCCAATCTATCGAAATCCCTCTGCAGCAAAGCAATATCTTGCTCACATTTTATTACTTTACAAAGTAAGTGTCATCTGCAAACACTAAAACATGGCTTTCAATGCCTATTGCAAGATCATTTTTAAATATGTTAAATAGAAGCGGTCCCAAAACAGAACCCTGAGGGACACCACTTACCACTTTTGTCCAGCTTGAAAATTTACCAATAATGACAACTTGTTGTACTCTATCCTTAAGCCGATGTTCTAACCAAGAACACGAATATTCATCTAGACCAATTTATTTTAGTTTGAAAACTAACCTATTGTGAGGAACCGTATCAAATGCCTTGGTAAAATCCAAGTAGATCACATCCACTGCAACACCCTGATCTATACTTCTTCGTAGAATGCAATTAGGTTAGTTTGACAAGACCTATGTTTCATAAAACCATGCTGAGTATTGCTAATAACAAAGTTCTTCCCAATAAATTCCTGAATATTAATCCTTAATAGCCCTTCAAATATTTTTCCAGTCACAGAAGTTAAGCTCACAGGTCTATAATTTCCAGGCAAGGATTTTGACCCCTTTTTAAATATAGGTACGACATCTGCCTTCCTCCAATCCTCTGGTACAATACCTGAAACAAAAGAATCTTCAAAGATTAAATATAGATGTTCACTTATTACCCCACTTAGCTCCTTAAGTACTCGTGGGTGAATATCGTCAGGCCCCGCAGCTTTATTTACATTAATTTTCTTTAACTGCTGTAGCACCTTGTCTCGAGTCATCTAATCACAAGTTATCTCCAAGTTTTTTGCAGCAATCATTTGCATATTTTTTGCCATAGGATCCTCATTAATATATACTGAAGAAAAATAGTTATTTAAAAGTTCTCCCTTTTCCTGGTCTTCATTAACTAACAGATCCATCTCTGTTTCCAGTGTTCATTTTTTGTTTTTTTAGAATTGATGTACTTGAAAACATTTTTGGGGTTGGTTTTGCATTCTTTGGCTATCAATTTCTCATTTTCTAGTTTAGCCACTTTAATTGCCCTTTTGCAAGCATTATTGGCTTCCTTTCATCTTAAAAAGGATGCCTCTGATTTAAATGCCCATTTCTTATTTTTAATCTCTTGTTTTATTTCTCTACTAAGCCACATTGGTTTCAATTTGTTTCTTTTATATTTATTACCCAATGGTACATACTGAGAAATGTACCTTTCTAAGAACCACTCACTGTGCTTGATCATTTGAGTAATATGTTAGCTGTCCATTTTGAGGCAATGCTCAATTAAAAATATACCGTGAAGTTATCAATCTGGATCAGATGCTTCTCATAGAGATGAAATCAGGAGACACGGTGCATGCATGGCAATCGCCGTAATCTGCCAATCCAGTGCTTATAGAAAAGCACTACACATACACAGTGTCTTGCATGGAAAGGGAAGTGATATTGTTGCCTTGGGTTCCTCTTTAATAATAGTCTTTTGTCCCTACAAACAGCAGATCTGAAGATACCTTTCATTCGACTGCTCATAGAGCACTCGAGTTATATTGCAAAACTTATGGTTTCATGGAACTATTGCACTTTCCCTGTAATAATTTGTTCAACTGTACTTTGTTCCCGTTTTGTCTATCATTCACAAAGTTCAGACACTGTTTACAGCTATTAAGTAATCGCTGCGTTAGAGAGTCTAAGTATTAAAATGTGCAAAAAATAAGTATGAAGCAAAGGTAAAAAAAAATATATTATTTTTGCACGTCTTTAATTCTCTGTGCTTCCACTTTTTAAAAGGCTGTTTTGGTGTTCATCAAAATCAAGCCACACTTTTTTTTCCACAAATAAGATGATTGTAAAATTCAATTAATTTTATCAAGATCTATCCATCCTATGAATTGTCCTGTATGATTTTTCCAGAATTTGCAACTGCGAATGAAGTTGTGACGAAGTGCACTTCGCCACTTGTGCCTGGAGAGGACTAATTACCAGCCTCTTGCCGTATGACTATGGTCCCTGGGAGATTTTGCCAGTTAGAAACACCATTTGGATTTATTGGTGTTTTAAAAGACTGTTCAGGCCCTTTAAAATGGTACTGGCACAGTTCTGCAACTTCCAATAACTGTCATATATTCAAACTCTGTCTGACCTTATAACTGTCATATATTCAAACTGTCTGACCTTATAACTGTCATATTTTCAAACTCTGACTGAACTTAATTGTCATTTTGTTTTCCTCTGAGGAGGAGTGGTTTTGCTGCATGAGTGCTGTTGCTTTTGTGTGCTCATTAAACAGACCTGATTGACCCTTTCTTGAAGCCTTGGCTCATGCTTGGGGGATGGGATAAGTCTGCAGTGCTGATGGTGTCGGTTGGAGTGCTTGGAGTCCTCGGCAAGCACTAGGAGCATCGATTGGCGGAGGTACTCGGTCAGAGTGCCAGCGGGTCCAACACAGAAGTATTAACTCCAGACCCATCATCTTACTGGATTGCAGAAGTTTGGGATATTCACTTGGATGCGTGAATGCAACCAGGTGGGTGGTTGGATGAGTGGGACAAGGCATGTGTGTTTGTGTTTGTAGGTTTCTTGTGGTGTTATGTGTGTGTGGGTAGGCTACCTGTAGTGTTGGTTGTTTCTGGGAATGCTGTTTTTTGGGTTGTGTGTATAGGAAGGCTGCTTGTGTGTTTATGGGTGTGCTGGTAGGCTGTGGATGAGGCTATTTGGGGTATAATAGGTGTGTGCACTTGCACGTGTAAATAGGGGCTGTACCGTGTGTGTGTTTAGGGGTGTAGAGACTGTAGGATGTGGTTGGAGGGATAGATGCTACAGTATGTGTGTTGGAGAGAAATTGGGGCTGTAGTGTGTGTAGTGTGGGTGGGAAATTAGAGCTGTAGTTTGTGTTTGGTGTTGATAGGGACTTTGTTTGTTGAGGGGAGATACGGGCTAGTGTGTGTTGGGTGCATAGGGTCTGTTCCATTGGGGGTGCAAGGAGTAGATTTGTGTTAACTGAGGTGCTGAAGGTAGCCCTCCCTTAATGTGAACTTACCCTTGTGTTCTCATCATGCAGTGGTGCTTGGTTTATAGGTGCATTAATGTTTGGAGGTCTTTGCATTTAACAGTAAATTATATATATTTGTTTCACAGTATATTGATAATACTGGATATTTTCCCACCATTTGGCTTACAGATCAAAAAAGAAGAAGTAACCAATAGCAGAAAAACCAGGAGGAGCAATAAAAAGAGATTTAAAAAAAATCTACTTAACAGGTTGAACCAAGCATCATAATCAAAGATTCCGCAGTAGATGTTATGATCCCAGGAGTGAGATGGCCTTGTCGGCCCGGTACTGGAAATAACTGTTTAGCATTAATTTGCCCTCTTGCCTGGTTCTGCCGGGTGTCATGGATCCTTTTCTCGTGGCTGTGACGACAACCGGTTTCAGCAGAGCTGCAGCAGCCGGGTGCCAATCCAACGGGCCATTCATTACACTGAACAATCTCAGTCAAAGAATGACATTCTATGCACGGACATTTGACATTAGCCAGCCTGGAACTCTAGGTTTGGGCTGGCTGATGACATCCCATTGACTCTAGATGAACTTACACCTCCAGCAGAGGAGGTTAAAGGACTACTCTACACCCATAAAACACTTCAGCTGTAAGTGCTTTATGTGTCATGAGTATCCCATCTTAAATTGCATTTTCTATAACATATAGGCACTTTCATGAAATATGTAACACAGACAGCCAGGGAGGATCTTTCTCTCCTTCTGTTAGCTCCAATAAATGAACGGAAGTGGCAAGCGCACTCTGCTAGAACAAGTTTGCCACTACTTACCCCAGTCATACACTCTGGTGCACATTTTCACTGGACTCCTTCTCTGGCTCCTGTGGCTCCCCTGTCTCTCCCCATCACTGCGCACTCAGAAGTGTGCGCGCATGCATGCTCATAGCTGAGAGTCAGAGGCTTCTCAATCCCCCGAGTTTACAGCTTCTGCTCTCTCATTTGGTGTTTGTCAAAGCAGACATCCAATTACAGAACCAATTGGATACCTTTTTGTGTCAATAAGCATTAACACCTATTGACATCATAAAATAAAGAGAATTACCACATGTCACACATTTATGACATCTCATTCAGTAGAGTTCAAAGTTCAATACCTGAATAATGACTTGAAGGGGTTGTCTCTCCCCACTTTTCGTGTGTGTCACCCCTTCTGTGTCATAGGTTGCTGTGTAACAGACAACTTGAGGATCCCGTGATTTCTCTTCCAATGGTATAATCACGCCACCTAAGTTCATAGTCCTGGAAACAAAATAATGGAAAATGGATTGATCAATGCTTCAGCCCCCATGGGAAATCAAAATCATTGATTATCACAATGAATAGTTCAACGTGTGTATATATATATATATATATATATATATATATATATATATTTCTCCTGGGAAATTAGCCTTAAAGTGACATATGTGAACACTTTCATTTCATGTTAAAGGGACACTATAGTCACCAGAACAACTGCAGCTTATTGAATGTGTTCTGGTGAGTAGAATCATTCCCTTCAGATTCAATGCATCTCTATGAGGAGATGCTGATTGGCCAGGGCTGTGTTTGGCTTGTGATGGCTCTGCCCCTGATCTTCCTCCTTGACACTCTCAGCCAATTCAATGCTTTTCTAGGGGAAATCATTGTGATTGGCTTTTATCAACACTTCTGATGATGATGATATCAGCTAAGCAGGCAGGATCAGGGACAGAGCCAGCACACTGAATTAAAAGTAAGATTTTACTATATATATATATATATATATATATATATATATATATATATATATAGATAGATAGAAAGGTGGGGCAGTGTGGCTAGAGTGTGATTTTAATACTATAGGGTCAGGAATATATGTTTGTGTTCCTGATCATATAGTGTTCCTTTAATTCCGATTAGATTTGGGGTAAGAGAATGACTTAAAACAATAATCATAATTGTTCAATATCTATGGTCAGATTAAGACAATATATATGATAATAATAGAATGAAAAAAAAGGTATGCACAACTTAATGGATGAATCCCCATGACATTATGTATCCGTAAAGACAACTGTAAGAACCTAAAAAAAAAAAAAAAAAAAAATTAAAGAAAAGGCTGTATTGCCTAAAGTGTCCCTTTAACCCAAGGTCTCATTGCCAATTCTTTGTGAACAGGGAATGTGGCCAATTCTAGTATCAGGGAGTGAAAATGTAATGAAAACTGGCACCTGTCTTGTGTATTTTGAAGGACATGTCAGATTAGTATTTATTTTATTTAAAAAAAATAATTAAAAAAAAAATTCAGCTGAACACAGTTCTCAGCAAGAAAGGTTTGGCCACTACAATTTTTCCCCAAGTACAGCACATATTCTTATTAATCCAATATACATTCAAATGGTAATAAGACTAGGAGGATAGAGATTTGGCAAACAGAGCCGAGTTCAGCCAAGTTGCACCTACTAAAGAATTCTAAATTGAACTGCAATTTGGCTACTTTTATAGAATTAGCAGTTCCCAAGTCAATTTACCAGAATTCTAACTTTATCATGCTGTAATTAATATATAAATATATTTAGGTTAGGAAAAAAAAAAAGCTTCAATTAAAAGTACACATTTATTTAAAATACTGAGATTTAGGAAATGAAACAAATACAACTGGTGCCAATACAAACCATTGTGTAGAAATCTATTCACAAACAGGACTTTACATAGGACATGAGGTCATGCGTTTAGACAGGAAGAAGGAAGATTTAGTCTAAAGCAAAGGAAAGGGTTTTTTTTTACTGTAAGAACAATAAGGATGTGGAATTTTCTGCCTGAAGAAGTGGTTTTATCAGAGTCTGTGCAGATGTTCAAACAGCAACTAGATGCATACTTGCGAAAACAGAATATTCAAGGATATAATTTTTCAATGTAGGGTAATAGCTTCTTGATCCAAGGATTAATCTGACTGCCATTCTGTGATCAAGAAGGATTCCTAGTTTGTTGCAATATTGGAAGCACTTCAGACTAGTTTTGCTTTCAACAGCAAAATACAAATTTAAGGATGGCTGAACTTGATTGACACATGTCTCTTTTCAGCTATGTAACAAGATAAATTAAATGTAGCCATTCATTCAATTAACAACCCCGGAAGAAAATGAACGAATGACAATTAAAAATAAAACTGTTTCATGTGTTAAAAAATTGTAATTGAGCGAGAAGCCTCCCCCGCCCCCAAAATAAATAGTATATTGCATTGAGGTGACATATGGTACTTTATATTCGCTGTTATCTCACTGCATTCAAATGGTGGTAGAAAAATGATGGGTGATGCTAAAGGAGTTATTTATATGTAAAATAAGATCATTCTTTTTTCCTTATATTGATGACAGACCTATATTAGTTTGATCCTAGACATGAATTTTTGGTACTCTTGTCAATCATAAAGAATAAACATATATTTTATTTTTCTACTCAAATAAGCATTTTGGAATATTATCGCAAATATTTGTGACAGCTTTCGTTTTCCGTTTTCCAATTTTGTCCCAAGATAGCCTCGTTTGGAACTTCAGTAGACCAGGAGTTCTATTACCAAGTCAATGAACTCCATGGTCATACCAAGTCAGTGAACTCCATGGTAACAATGATGCAAAATGGTACAAGCTTGGTAAGACATTAGTCTAACAATGTAGCTTGGTGTCTTGGAGGATGCGGTTACAAGAGGGGAGTTCTATCTGCCAGTTATACCACTCTAGTGGTAAGATCTGTCTTGGGGGGGGGGGGTCACACCATCAAGAAAGTAGTATTGAGACCACTTTGTGGGAGGAGCCTACTCCATCCTTAACATCTTAAGGTTTGTAAGCCCAGGGTACCATTTATAGAATGTTTTACTGGTTTCATAGCGGGCAAGCAAAGCCAACTATACAAAAACCCTGCAAAAGGCTCCCTTATAAAAGCTAGTGTGACCAGAAAAAGCTGCCAGAAAAAAAAAAAACTAAGCTAAGAGAGGGAATCTGAAATAGGAAATCAATGGTGGGGGCTACAGTGGAATAAAGGAGCTGCACTGGATTTTATAACCAACTGCTCACTAAATCCTAGTGGTGCTACATGCCATATAGATTGTTCAAGAAAATTGAGCTCCTTGTTAGGTCAATAGTCTAAAGTTATTTTAGGACCCTTCAGCCAGGGAAGTGTTTTGTGAGGAAATACATAAATGGGATTACATGACTGACCAGGTCCATTCATTGATATAAACAGAGATGTGGGAGCAGGTAAGCAATTACTTAAACTCATATTTGGAATATTTATAATATTTTTTGAAAATATAAATTATTCAAATTGAAACAAAAGTATTTCTTTAATGTTAATAATAAAGATTGTGAACATATAAAGCTGTTAAACAAGCAATGCCCTGTCACCTTGTATCTAGAAAATGGTGAAATTATATATATATATATATATATATATATATATATATATATATATATATATATATATATATATATATATATATATATATATATATATATATATAATGTCACCTTTTACTTAACAAGTCACCACCACCCAAAAAAAAAACAAAACAAAAACCACAACATACTTTGACTGGTGGGAATCTGATCCTGTTGGTTTGGTAACACCAGCATTTTACAAAATAACATTATTTAGCTACACTATGCTACATTCATACTGCACATAATGAACCCTGTCCATATATAAATGACCCCCAGACTAAGAAATCCATCCTTATTGTATCAATGCAGTTAAAATGTAACCTTCATTAGACATTGAAATTTAGTCTCAAATCCAATACGTTTAAAGGTTGGATTATGCGGTTTCATCATCCCTGCAGAGCCTTCTGCCCAATGGCTGTGTACTGCCAAAAAGCACATCAGCTGCCTGTCATCTGTTTAGGGCCTTGTGCTCCTTGAAATAATGTATGGTATTTTAATATAATGCATAGCAGGGTCCTGTAATATATTGCATGGCCCTTAATATAATGCATAGCAGGGTCCTGTAATATATTGCATGGCCCTTAATAGAATGCATAGCAGGGTCCTGTAATATATTGCATGGCCCTTAATATAATGCATACCAGGGTCCTGTAATATATTGCATGGCCCTTAATAGAATGCATAGCAGGGTCCTGTAATATATTGCATGGCAGGGAGCTTGTATAAAATACACGGCTCTTTATATAATGCATAGCAGGGAGCTTTAATATAATGCATTGCTCTTTATATAATGCATAGCAGGGTCCTGTAATATATTGCATAGCAGGAAGCTTTAATATAATGCATGGCTCTTTATATAATGCATAGGAGGGTCCTGTAATATATTGCATGACCCTTAATATATTGTATGGCTCTTTATATATTGCATGGCAGGGTCCTGTAATATAATGCATGGCTCTTTATATAATGCATGGGAGGGTCCTGTAATATATTGCATGACCCTTAATATATTGTATGGCTCTTTATATATTGCATGGCAGGGTCCTGTAATATTGCACGGCCCTTAATAGATTGCATGGCTCTTTATATATTGCATGGCAGGGACCTTTAATATAATGCAAGCCACGGGTGGCCCTTAATATAATATGGCAGTGATGGGGCCCAACCTGGACCATATAATCTGTATGTCAGGGATGGAGCCAGGCGATGGATAACAGGCACTGTGAAGGAGGTACCTGGATTATAAATCATTACCATCATTGCATTGAAAATAAATATATAGATTCATATAAATATATAGATTAAGCATTCTGTGCCTAATCTAAGAACAAAAGAATCTAAAATCAAATCACTGGCTCTGTGTATTAAATTTTATATATTTATGTATATAATTTCCCCATCTCTTGCAGATTTGGGGAGGGGGGAGGTGTCTCCCACAGCCCCAGCAGGTGTATGTTGAGATAGCTGTGATTAATAGAAATAATGGAATAATGAAGGTGAATGGTACCGGTACACACCGTGCAATCCATAAATCCGCTTTACTTACTTGGCTCTGACTGCCCCCGGTTTGAGGACCAGCTCGATTTTGTATTTCGCCCCTGTTAGCAGTTTGATTGTTCGGTTCTGGCCGAACCTCTGCCCGTCCACCTTAAAATAGACCGGACCGTCATTGGGCTGGATCTTAAGGGACACCGCGATCTTCACTAAGCTAGGGATCTCCCCCATGTCTCGGAGCGGGATGGCTGCGTGTGATGGGCTGGCTGGCTGCGAGTGCTGTGCTGGCTGGGTGTGCTGAGCTGCTTGTTCGAGGAGAATCAGTAGATCTGAGCCATTCACCGCAGCTCCAGATTGGCAGACCCAATCCGCTGCCAATACCTCTATCTGTGCACTATATAATCCTCCTCCACCGACTGCAGCATGACAGTCTGCACTCCAATCCCTGCCCAGGGGGAGGGAGAACTTGGTCTCCTCCCTGCACACACAGCCCAGGACTGTCAGATAAGGAGGAAGCTTGCTGTCTGTGGGACATGAGGAACGAAGATTCACCCAGGAGATCTTCTCTGCTAATCCCAACCCACCCCACCCTATTCCCAGCCATCTGGCAGATTTACATTTATAACCATCCCCTGCATGCCAATCACATAGTACACTCATTAAAGGGGTCACAACATAAGCCTGAGACAACGTGCTGTGTAAGAATGCTCTCATTTTTGTGGGTTATTTAATATTTTTCCTTTACCAGGTGGCTGATACATTCACAGTACTGTGAGTATATAATATGACATGATTAAAGGGGAACTGTCACTTTAATTTACACCAGGGAATAAAATTCTGAAAATCACCTATAACTTGTGTTAACCTTTTTTTTTTTTTTAATTCTTTTTTGTGCACAGTAAAAAAAAGCGTACAGCCCGTATGGCCACAACAGCCACACTGGGGTATCAAATGACACATTGATACACATATCTGTAAGACGGATACAGGTAGTAGAGTAAGATCTTGTGGTATCTGCTCATCTTGCACTTTTTTTATTATGATCATGTTCAAGTTAGAGGGACATGTGTGGTTAGTACCCAACTAAACTCTTGTTGTTTTTTGTATACTTGTGTAGTGGGGTGCATACCTCCGTACTGGTTTAGTGTATACTACTTGTCATTCAGTGAAGATGGGAGACATGAGCAGTAAGGGTTCTGTCAAGAGTGTAGCGTTGCAGGAGGTTAGTCTGTAGGGAAATGCCTACTTTGAGCGGTAGGCTGCCAGGCGTAATTCCTCCTGTCGGGTGTACTGTACGGGTGTACCTGTCATGTCGTGAGTTTGGTGTACTGTACGGGAGAATGCCCTGTCCTAGTTGGTTTGTCTCCTGAAGAATTTAAAGGTAAGGCTGCTTGGTGTCCGCAGGTCTCTGCGAGTTTACGATGCTGTGTTGACAAGTTGTGACCTAACTTTTAATGCAGGTGCGCACAATCTCAGGGGTGTCGGAGGTCCTGCCTACGGTTCGGTCAGGTAGGTTGGAAACCCTTATCTCGTGGGGAGGAGGGAGAGGAGAGTGCAGTCGCCTGAGTGTCTATTACAGTCCCACATATGGTGGGAGCCTGCGCTAGGGCCCAAGGGCGCCACTACACAGGGACCCTGTGCCTAGTATAAGGGGTATTAGAGCCAGTGGTGTGTTTTAAACTAAAAATTAACTTATAACGGTAAAAAACAGTTTAACATAAGAAAATATTATTTGCTTGCATCAGTAGCCAGTTCGTGTCAGAGCCTCGAGCCTCTCTGTACTCCTAGGAACGAAGGATGCTGTTCTCTCTGGGTCCCAGGAATGCGTCGCAGCGGGGGCTGCCTGTTGTCGGGATTGTGTGGCAATCCCCAGTTCCTGTAGGAATAGATCAGCATTCTGTAGTGAGGTAAGGCAGATTAAGGATCCGTCTTTGGTTACTGTGAGAGACCTTGGAAATGTCCATCTGTAGTCAATGTTTGCTGCGCGTAGTTGGCTAGTTATGTGTCCCAAGGATTTGCGCCATAGTAGAGTGTTCCGTGTAACATCCTGGTAAAAGCTGAGATTAGATGACTCAAAGGCAAGTGGGGTTTTTCCTCGTACTGCAGTGAGAAGCTTAATCTTGTCTGTTGCCAAGTGACATCTTATGATGACATCTTGTGGAGCATTGGAGGGAGCCGATCTAGGCTTTCGGATTCGAAAGAAGCCATCCAGTATTACTTTTTTTGCTTGGGAGTGTGGTAGGATCATGGCCGTTAGGCGCCTGAGGAAGTGGGGCAACTCTGCTGCGTCTATATTGTCAGGGATCCCCCTGATTTTGATGTTTGCTCGTCTATTGCGGTCCTCTGCCAGATCTAGTCTTGTGGTGAGGGTGGTCTGGGAGGCTTGGATTTGGTGGACTTTGGTGGACCTTGTACCTCTCGCTGCAGGTCTTGGATATTCTCCTCTGAGGCCTGTGTGTGTGCTGTGACCGCTTGTATTTCAGTCTGGAGTAGGTTGAGGTCTGCTGCATGCAGTTGCCTCAGTTCCTACAGCAGGTCAGCGATGTCCTTTTTGGTGGCCGGCTTTGCTTGTCTCGGCCCGCTGGTGATATCACAGTCGGCTGTGCAGGGGAGGTCTCTGGTGTCTCTGCGAGGGTCTCTTCCACATCTGGTTGTTCCCGCTTGTGGTCTGGTGAGGTTGCCATCTTGGGAGCCATTGGTCGCTGCAGCAGGGTCCCGATGTCGTGACTGGCCGTGCCTGCGCTTGGGGGGGGGTGTCTCTGGGATCTTCTTCCCATGTTATGGGTGTCTGGTGCGTTGGGACCGTATTGCAGGTGAGTATTGTGTGGCGTTCCTGCTGCCCGCGCTAGGAGTTCCTGCACAGCCTTCGCGGAGTGTTCCTCCAGGTAGGCCCCAGTTCTTCTCCAGGTCTTCTTCCCTGTTTGTGTGAACATAAAAGGCATCAGCGTGTGGCTGTATCGCAGTGCGTGCCCGAGTGGGTAGGTGTGCTTGTCGATGGCACTTTGGAGCCGCAGATTCGTATAGATTTGTCGTAGATTGTTAGGAGCTCTGTCAGATTGCGGCCATTCCTGTCAAGCACTAGGCCCCCGCCTCCTGTGTGTTAACCTTTTTGTACATGAGATACTTCATTTATATATATTTGGGGTCGGCAACATAAACGGCGTAAAATAACACTAGTAATGGTGCAAGTCGGTTGTGGTACGGGTAGACCCGTAAATAAAAGAGGGCCTATCAGGATAAAGAGATAATAAATAAAAGAAAATTAAAGAAGGGTAGGGGTGGGTGGGATGACCAGTACGGCACGGCCCAGGTATGAGGGAGAAACGAGGTTATAAGGGTTATGTATAAAAAAAAATGGGTATTTTTTTTGTTTTGTTTTTTCGTTTGCACCAATATTTTCCGCCCGTCACAGTTTTCTATGTATAAAACTCTGTGTCACTATTTCTACGGTGGTATTTTTTTCCAGTTCTGCTAGACTGATTGTGGCGTGATAACATGCTGGGTAAATGGGCTTGGAATGGCGGTTTCTGGAGTGCACCTCTAATTCTGCCTGGAAAAAAAAATACTCAAAAAACATGAAAGTGTCAGTAAGGGTGCAAGGAGAAAAAATGTGCACATCAAATGGTCAAGGTGCAAATTGGAAATGTAATATGCAACGCTTTATAAATGTCTCTTGTTTATTTCTCATTTTCTCTGTATGCTTTGTCTATCCTGAATTACAGGAGCAAAGGACATAGCTTATAACAAAGACTGTCAGGGAGCTAAGATGGAGGCACCCAGTTGCAGGATGGAGAAGTGAGCATTTGTACATTTGCAGGGTTATTTACTTAAGTGAGAATTACTGGGAAGTCAAAGTGAATTTCACATTTAAAGGGATATTCTAGTTTTTGTAATGTAAAAGAATTGAGGTAATTCAGATCTGTAAATACTCTTCCTACATGCAAATATCTTTACTAAATGTACAGATTGCCTTCAACAAACCTACACCTTAATACAAAAATGTGTTTGAAATAAAGGAATATTCTAGACATCAAAACCAAGACTACAGGAGTGACATTTGGTATCCCCACTCTGCAGGGAGATGCTGAATGCTCCCCATAGAGATGCATTTAGTCAGTGCAATCTCAGTGAGCATATGCAGGTTTCCATGACAATTGCCTTGCATGCTCACTAGCTCCCCAATGCTTACCTTAAAGAAAGCGTTTGATTGGCTGATGTCATCGTATTGATGATCTCGGCCAGAGAATGTAACGATACCTTACCTGGGTCCGCCGATCCCGCGCGGCACGACAGTTTCCCCGGCTGCTTCCGGGGGGCGGCGCAGCCTCTCGGACGCTGCCCGCTCGCGGCAAAATCCGTTTTATGACGCGGCGCATGCGCGCTGACATCATAATGATTTTGCCGCGAAAATTCAAACGCGGCCACGCTCCCGAACCTTTTGGGGGCGTGGCTTTAAAGTGACACACACACACACATTAGTATAAAAGGGCATCCCTGTCCACCCCTCAGTGCCCTAGTGTGGTTCTTGATTGTTCCCCTAGTGCTCTTATACTGTTTAGCTGTTTTTCTGGTATTTTGACTCTTGGCTTTCGTTCTGACTATTCTCCTATCTGGCTCCCTGACTTTTGGCTTGGCTTTCTCGTTTATCCCGATTTCCGTACTCCCTTGACCCTCGGCTTTTTCTTGACTATTCTTTGACGTTAAGTCCGGCCACCCTAAGGTCCGGTATACGTCCCTTTCAGGATTACCATCTGTGTGAAGGGGTCACTATCGTGACATTACACTAGGGCCATGGACCCTGCAGGTGCTAATCCTCATGGCCCGGTTCCTGATAATCGGTTTGAGGAGCTGGACCATCGTATGGACCAGTTTGCTGTAGCTGTTCAGACCTTGTTAGCTCGGACTGCACATCTACAGTCAGAGGACCATATCCCGGGTCTTAGACCCCAGGAACCTCATTTGGAGATGGCGGCAGGGGGAGCTTCTGCCCATGCCACATCCCCTCTCCGTTATGGAGGTGATCCCAAGGGTTGTCGGGGTTTCCTCAATCAAATAAGTATTAACTTTGAACTTCATCCTAGGGCGTATCCTACCGATAGAGCAAAGATTGGTTATATTATAACATTGTTAGTCGATAGAGCACTAGTTTGGGCCAATCCATTGTGGGAAAACGACAATCCCATAGTTTTCAACTATGCAGAGTTTGTCGCAGCCTTTAGAAGAACATTTGATCCCCCTGGAAGACGTACCAATGCTGCTAAAACCCTATTACGAATGAGACAAGGGTCTCGTTCCCTTGTGGACTATGCCCTAGAATTTTGCACTCATGCTGCAGAGGTCAGATGGAATGAGCAGGCCTTTGTAGATGTGTTCATGAACGGACTTTCTGACAAACGTTTAGATGAGGTAGCCACCCGAGACCTCCCTAATGTGTTGGAAGAATTAATTACATATCTAGCACATATAGACGAACGTCTCCGACATAGACAAAACACCAGGGATAGACCTAGGCGTATGCCGGAACGCCTGGCATTAACGTTTCCTTCATCTGAGGAAACCACTGTCGCTCCAGCAGAACCCATGCAACTGGGAGCCACACGGTTGTCTGAACCTGAGAGACAATATAGACGAAGGGAGGGACTTTGTATGTATTGTGGGAAAAGAGGACATACCCGCCTACACTGCCCAAGCCGGCCGGAAAACTCCAACGCCTAAGCCCTCAAGGAGGACAGGCCTTGGGTGTAACGTGTATGTCCTCCTTCCAAGATAGGAAAGAACTCAGGCTTCTTCTACCGATAACTATAGAATGGGAGGGAAGGTTAATAACTTCTTCTGCGCTAATAGACTCTGGGGCAGCTGAGAACTTTATTGACCGTACTTTCGGCCAACATCACAACCTCCCATTTCGAGAAAGATCAACACCCTTGGCCGTTGAGGCCATAGATGGTAGACCATTATCCATTCCTTTTATTACTCAAGAATCCAAACCCTTAGTCTTGACTGTAGGTTCGCTGCATAAAGAAACCATAATCCTACAGCAAATACCTTCTCCCACCTTTCCGATTATACTTGGGTTTCCTTGGCTTACCAAGCATAATCCTCTAATTAACTGGGAGAGGAAAGAGATTGTAAAATGGGGTGATTCTTGTTTTAAGGAGTGTATCAGTCGAGTTAAACCTATAGGACTCCTCAACGTTCCTACCATGGAACCATTAACCACTCAAGTACCCGAACCATATCGGGATCTCAAGGCAGTCTTTGAACAAAGGGAAGCAAACAAATTACCACACCATCGTTCTTATGACTGCGCTATTGATTTGTTGCCTGGTACTATGCCCCCTAGGGGTACCGTGTATCCCCTCTCTGTGACAGAAAACAAAGTACTTGAAGAGTACATCACAGAGAATTTGAAGAAGGGTTTTATTACCAAATCATCCTCCCCGGCTGGTGCAGGGTTTTTTTTTGTTTCCAAAAAGGAAGGTGACCTGAGACCCTGCATCGATTATCGGGATTAAATAAAATAACAATACGAAATGCATATCCTATTCCGCTCATTACTGAGCTTTTTGATAGGTTAAAGGGTGCTACCATATTCACTAAGCTAGATTTACGGGGAGCTTATAATCTAGTTCGTATTAAGAAGGGACATGAGTGGAAAACGGCCTTCAATACTCGCTATGGCCATTATCAATATAGGGTTATGCCCTTCGGTTTATTCAACGCTCCGGCAGTCTTTCAAGATTTCATAAACGATGTATTAAGGGACTATCTACAAAGGTTTGTTGTTGTTTATTTAGATGACATACTCATCTACTCTAAGAATATCAAGGAGCACCATAGACACGTTAGAATTATTATCCAAATTATTAAAAAACGGACTCTACTGTAAATTAGAAAAATGTTTATTTGACGTGGAGAAGGTTAATTTCTTGGGTTACATAATTTCCGGTTCCGGCTTTCAAATGGAACCTAAAAAACTAGAAGCAATTTTAAATTGGCCCCTACCCATTGGACTTAAAGCCATCCAACGTTTCCTGGGGTTTGCTAATTACTATAGAAAGTTTATCAGAGGATTTTCCTCTATTACCGCTCCTATTACCGCTATGACAAAAAAAGAATAGAAGTCATACGGTGTGGAGTACCGAAGCTAAGGAAGCCTTTGAAAAATTGAAGCTAGCCTTTTCTTCAGCCCCGGTGTTAAGTCACCCTAATCCTTTGCGTCCTTTTTTGCTAGAAGTGGATGCTTCTGAGACAGGGATAGGGGCTGTACTCTCTCAGAGATCCTCGAATGATCAACCCCTGCATCCCTGTGGCTATTTTTCTAAAAAACTGACGGAAACAGAACGAAGATACGATATAGGTGATAGGGAATTGTTGGCTATCATTTCAGCACTCAAAGAATGGCGGCATCTATTAGAGGGGACATCTGAACCGATCATCATCCTCACTGATCACAAGAACCTTTCCTATTTTGGAGAAGCTAAAAGAATGACTGACAGGCAGATTCGTTGGTCTTTGTTCCTAACACGTTTTAACTACATAGTGACATACAGACCCGGTTCTAAGAATACAAAAGCAGATGCCTTATCTCGGCAACATGAGCACC